TGTCCAAGGGGAAAATGGATTGTTTCAAAATTGTTAGTTGTTTTTTTTTTTTTTTCGCTGGTAGTGTCCTATGGTCTGCTAATGCTGTTTACCATTTCTGTTATAGCAAGTCTTTTCTGACTTCTTTTAAAAATTCTCGTTTGCGGTTGGTCATGAGGCTAATATATTTGTGAAATTTGTAATATCTCCACAGACATACAGACCCATGTATGTGTGGGTACGAATGTAGAAGTCTACGTGTACGCTTTTAAATGTGGCTAGATGTTATGTTCTTAAAGAACACTACTCGTCTAATTTTTTTTTTTTAAAGTTGCACATTCTTTTCAGGACGTTGCAGAATCAACTTCACATTTTTTTGAAAAAAAAAGGGGGGTGGGGGTTGTTGTTTATAAATTTAGCTTAAGTTTTACTTTTAGGGGTTTGCTATTGCTTTCTGAAAGGTCGGATCTCGATATTATTGTTGCAATCAATGTAAAGTGGTCCGTTGCCAAATAGCCCGCCCCAATAATGATGTTTTTGTCAAAAATTTGAAACAATGCTTTGTAGTAACCCCTTTAAACCTGTCTCCCATTCTAACATTTTAAGAGTTGCAAGATACAAATAAAAAAAAAATGTATTGGTTGTTACTGTTCGACAGGTTCTGACCTACACAGGACTGCATATTACACCTGCTACGGGTACCCTAATTATAACTTCTGTGGCGGTGAAGGGGGTATCTGCGACCTGCCTGTTGAGTCTGGCCTCCGGATAGATTTTTAAATCTCAGAATGATATTGTAATCCTTTAGGTAGCAGCCTGGAAGGGACAAACTAATCGATTGATCGATCAATTGATCGGTTATTGATTGTATTTTCCTAAGGGGAAAAAAATTACAAAGTATAAGTCCTAGACATATAAAGAAGAAAGCTGATAGATCATTAAACTGTAAGACAAAATATGGGATGCAGTACGAGATGACTAGATGTTTTCTTTGCCGACCGAAGGTTGGCATTCGCTTCATGGTGGTTTTTTTTAATTCATTTGGGTCTCCAAATGGATCTAAACTAAAATGTATACTGGCTCACCGTGTAAAGTTCAAGGGCCCTGTTGTAGGAAAAACAAGAATAGATCCACTGCCTCGCCAAAAAGTGTGTCGTAAGAGTCGACCAATTGGGAGGTTTTCTTCGAAGTCGGAGTGCATCTATCTGAGAGGCAAGGAACCAACAATCTCTGCATACAGATAATTCAGATCTGTAAAATGGATGTGCACGCAACACACTCAGGTTCTGGAACAAAAATTAAGTCCAGAGGTGGGAAAACAATCAGAAGTTTCCGCCGGAGTTTACTGTCGGTGAACGCCAAGAAAAAAGAACCAAGAAATTTGCTGGCAGGTAAACACAAATGGTGTGATGCAGATCACATGACTCGTCCAGTGATGAATGCGTCAGTCAAATATGGCTGTATCCCCGTATACCCAATTTGTAAATAGCTTTGAAAAGTGTCACAAACCTCTGGTATGACCTTGCCGGTCCGTGGCTCGCTAACTAGGCCTATGACAGACAGCCTAACCTACAACACACACTGAACCCGAACGCACACAGAGCACACACGACAATCTTTATTGGAAGTACAGGTAATACATAGACAGTTGACTTCCCGCCGTGTGGCCACCTATTGCCTGGACCCTCTGGCTGGACGGGCTTTACAATCGCCCCGTCCCCAGTACGTGCGACAGGCAATACTCTGGTGTACAAACCACAATCCGGCAGGATACGCTCTCTTCTATCGCCACGCTGACCCAATCAAACTGTCACAGTCTCTGTCTTAGTGCAGGGTCAGAGTGTCCAGGTTAGCCACTCTCTCACAGCACATATACATAAATACTCTACACAAGAACTATCCTATCCTAACACAAAACTGTACATAAACTATCCAGTCACTAACAGAAATATATCCTAACTTTAATACTATAACATAAACTATCCAGTCACTAAACGTCCTCTCTTCCTGACTGACGCACACCGAATGTCCCTTCTTCCTTCTACCTCGTGTCTCTTGACCCCGTTCACCAGCTCAGTCCCAAAAGCAGTCATCGTGTTACTCCAACACAGTTCAGGCTTTCTTGCTTTATCCTGAGCGCTGGTTTCGCCGTGCGATCACAGAACGGACTTGACCAGTGACGGCCCTGACCTCTGTGTCAACCCTGGGCGCACACCTTACTGGTACACTGACTGTACTTAATAGGGTTGTGACAAAAAGGAACCTTCACTTCATGCACATTACATATTTGGCTACATTAAAGTTCACACGGATTTTTAAAATGAGACATTGGTTCTGTTCTTTTCATTCACGCTATATGGGGAAATTCAAGATTTCCTGGGGCAGTTTCCGGAAAAGTCCAATTTTATAGGCGCATTAATGTGTGAAATGAAAACCGACTAACACTCACTGTAACCTGACGCCACCCCCTCACCCCCACGGTCACTCTTCATCTTCCCTCACACATGTATTTATGCTTTCA